TGGTCTACGCCTTAGGGATGAATCTGGCTCTCTCGGGTAGGTATGAATGTGTCGACAAATGAATATGGTCAAGAGAGAAAGAGATATGGTACAAATTCTCCTAGATAAGGGACACAATTCATCAAACTAAGAGGTTGTCCCAAACTCAACTTTGTCAATCCAATGTATTTCACGAGGGTATGAGAGTTGGGAAGGCCCTCCCTTGACCCCCATGTACGGGCGTCACTCTTCAAGTTGATTCTTGAGTAGGCGCGGCGCGCCGACCGGAAAAATCATTGGCAATAACTTGATGAGCCTTGGTGCTCGAGAAACCAAGAGAAAGTCAATCAAGGACTTAGCCTTACACGCCAATCTACGGTTGAGGGAGCTAGCCTGGGCCAGTAGCGAAGGGTACACCAAGTGAGCACAGAAGAAGCTGAATCGAGATGTTTTCATGGAATAATGTATGTCATTTAAGGGGGCGCATGTTTGGTGGTCAAACCTCAGATGAGCCCTGGCGTGACAAAGGTCCCAACACATGCGCGCACGAATTCCTACCAGGTGAGCGGATCTAATCGAACCCGGAGAGCTCCTGCAAGCGGGTGACTGGCCGCTTCGAGTCAACACGTGCAATACAACAGGTGGAAAGGGACACGAGGCACAGGTGGAAGGGCATGAAAATCGGCGCTTATACCATTGAGCACATTATGTTCGTGATACACCCGGAAAAGCTGAAACGAACGGAAAAGGGAGACTAAAAGCACATGGATCATAAGTCCGGTGCATCCACTGAAAGAACCGAATTGTTCCCTTATCGCTTCCTTGACAGACGCTCATTGGCTTACACGCGGATACTCAGTAATTTTTCACTTATTAATTTATTTAGGTGTTTATCTGCGAATTCCACTTTCGGGGCGAGTGACTACATGTACAGATCTGTGGAAGCTTATCGTGCTCCAGCTGCTGATTTCTCTCCTTACAACATGTGAACATTCGGTGGCAGCAAGCATAGTGCAGTGGCGTGCCTTTTCCGTTTCAGGGTTGGAATCCATCCCCATATTCCGTCGGTGAATGATCGAGAGGCCAGAAAGTGTGGCTATGCTACAACACTTGATCTTGGAAAGAACTCTCCCTTTTGAAGGAGGGGGAAAGAGAGAGAGTTTTGTGCATGAGGGAATGGATCTGGCTTGAGATGAGGGATAGACACGCGCATCAGCTCACACTAACTAAGCTGGTGGAAGGCAAATAAATTACTCTCCCGCATCTCCGCTATAAAGAAAAAAAGGGGAAGAGAAACATGTACGTGAGAAGTCGTCAGATTTATGGAGAGGGCAAGAAAGGGGGCGTATTTATTGATATTATAATATTATTATTATTATTTCATTATCGTTATTTTCTTCATAGCCCAACTCAATCAAAGCTAGTTGGCGCAAAGCAAAATCTGTGTATTTCAGCCAGAGACATAATTAATTGGGTCTTTACCGTCCGTCAGGCCATTACCACTCTTCAAGAGTGGAGGGCAATCCATGGAAGACGACTGAGCAGCGGGCAACTTATGTAAAAGGGGGTATGCAGGCCATAGACTCGTAAAAAAAATTGTGTAAGCAGCCAAATGGTACCATGATTACTAAGCCCTCCGTCTTCAACGTGAAAATTACGGGTTCTCAAGAAGTATCAAACAAGAGCGCTAGGGAGGACAGGGAGAGAACAACGGAGGTACAATGCTTCTTTTGGGGCGGGATCAATCTCGGTCAACTAAGCTACACTCTTAACCTTGCTCCTATGACTATGGTTATCGTGCCCCTTCCTTAGCAAAGTGATTTTTGTACCCGCTCTGTCCGTATGTACTTGATAGGCGAGATTTCCTACACAGTGCAATAGCATTGTTAACCCTTGGCTTTTGAGGAGTCGTCAAAAGAGCAGCGCCCTTAGACCATCTGCCGTTTTGCGCTACTTGTTACAAGTGGGGTCTCAGCTTCGACCTTGATGTTTTGCAAATTTCCGGAAGTAAACTGTTCAGCTTACGAATTGGGTAATTGGCTCGCTTCTAATACGGAAATGAGGTCGTACTTCTCTGCCTCGGGAAAGGCAATAACGTACATTACTAATATTTCAAGATCATTATTTCCATCATATGATTGTTCGTCTGATTACAGAAGCAGAGCAAAGAGTACCCTTCAACTCATCTAAGAATCATCGGGAACAAATTAAAGATATGAACCTACTTGGACCTTAAGTGACCCCGACAAGAACCTGCGAGATCAATCTTCAAGTGGGGGTATGACAGGAAATCGAAACCCCACTCGCCTGTTGGGAGATCAGGTCCTCTGAGGCGGGCACAACCGGTGACAAACGTTGTTGTCCCTGGCATCAACGAACAGCAAGCGACCCCTTCCTGGGTTTCCTCACAACATTGGTGTCGTTGCCGAGGAGGGGATTGCACCCGCAAGGCCTCGGCCTCCCCCTGTCAAACGGGGGTCCACTGGCTAATTAGCCACGGGTTAATTAACTTGATTAGCTCATAATCTGATTGTTTTATATTTTTAATTTTCTTAATTGATTAGGTTTTTTTCGGGATGACTCTTGATCCGGGCGTTTTTGCACAAACCACCCCCGGATCAAAGTTGGTCCTCTCGCCGAGACAAATTTTTTTAGACCTTCGGTGGAAAAAACTAACGGCGAAGAATTGAGATACGTGATTTTTTTTATTTTCTTCTAAAATATTCTATAAACTCCTATTTTTGTTTTCTCCTAATTACCTGGAATCAGTGCACAATCTTGGGAAGCTTGCCTGGGCAAAGTTGTCCGATTTAATTTTTCCGACATATTGAGACTTTGTACGGGAAAAACGGATATCGTTTGTGGAAGCGGTAGACCCCAACAGCACCTAAAATTAATAGATAAATAGTAAAATTGATTATTTCTTTGATAAATTATTTAAATATAAAAAACGATTAAAAAAAAAAAGTAATCGATAAGTTTTTTCTTTGGACCTCAAAGAACAACTACGTAAAATTTCTAAGGTTGAACGGCATTCACGGTGTGCGTGCGATCGCATACAAAGCCCTAAACCCTAACTAGGGAAAACCCTAGAGGAAAATATAAATACAATACTATATTAGGGTTTGTTTAAAATTTAACTGTCGGACCGTGCGGCGTTGGCGGAGAGACTCTGAGACCAAAGTCGGACGGTTAAATAGATAGAAAAGTTTGGGACCTTCTGTCGATGAAATCGACGGTGTATATTACGCATAAACTATGAAACACCCACGGACGCGTCCATGGGGCCGATCTCGGATGGCTGCCGCATATGCGGCTGAGTCCACGGCCGACCTGGTCCGCGCCGCGGACCCGATTTTGCAAGATTTTTCCTGCATTTAATAATAGGAGGAAAAAAAAAAAATCGCGGTGTAGGGAATTCCAATTCCTAGAACCCCATTTATTTTTTTTCGGAAAAATATGCTTATTTCATGATTAAAAAAAATA